GCGTACATGCACAGAGAGCCGAAGACTATTTTTCTGTTTTTATTTTTTTAATTTTATTTTTAAATATCGCGCCAGCTTGCAAACTTCTTTCATTGCGTACATGCACAGAGAGCCGAAGACTATTTTTCTGTTTTTATTTTTTTAATTTTATTTTTAAATATCGCGCCAGCTTGCAAACTTCTTTCATCGCGTACATGCACAGAGAGCCGAAGACTATTTTTCTGTTTTTATTTTTTTAATTTTATTTTTAAATATCGCGCCAGCTTGCAAACTTGCAAACTTCCTCTATCGTGCATGTGCACGGAGAACCCTCGAAATTTTTCGCAAACGTCAACGTCAGATTGTTCTTCTGTTTTTTTTTTTTTTAATTTTATTTTTAAATATCGCGTTAGCTTGCAAACTTCTTTCATCGCGTACATGCACAGAGAGCCGAAGAGAAACGAATCTCTCGTTTCAAACGAATCATGCATGTTCATTACAAGCGATATCACTGTCCGATCGTCTTCGTCTGACGAGAGGTGAAAATTCTGATCGCTGCGTGAAAGTTTCGAGTCTTACGAATCTGTCGAATTATTTGTCGAGAGTACTTTGAAAGTCTAGCTCGCGTCGCAAGTATACTTTCAGTGAAAGATTTTTCTTTTTCAGTAATATTCGAAATTCGTGGAACGAAGCTTAACTTGCATAAATATATAGGCATGTTGAGTTCGAAGAATCTGATCAAATGTACATTATATACTGAACTTGCACATTGAATTACAATGAAATATGTACATTAAATTTGTACATTGAACAAAATTTGAACGCGATAAACACGTGACATGAGACTGAGAATTTTACTCGAGCATCACTGATCTTGATTCCATCCATAATTAATAATTCCTGCGTGTATTGTTTGCTCGCATAATCAAACAAAGACAGAAAGCTTTTGAAGGTGTTAATTTAGCTCTAGTCACTTTAACTTTGCAAATATTTGATGTTTCACTTCTTTTTATAAATTGATTGAAGATCCAAGATTCTTTTCTCCATTCTCATTTTGAATTTTCAATTTTTTTTCTCTTCCCTTTCGCGGGATAATTTTCAAAAAATAAAACGTTAAGTTCGGTAAATAATACCAATAAAATTGAAAATTTAAAAACAAGAAAAATGTGTTCATTTTGTTATAACTCAGTCTTACAGCGAATGCATTTCGTCGAGTATGCTCGTCATCGTCTAGAAATAATTAAGCACAACAGTGCAAAACAAAGCAAAACGCTTAGGGGGTTAATATCGCAGCAACCTGTCCGCGCGTCTTCTCGCTGCGAGTTCCGAACGAGTCGATGAATAATTAGCCTTTTCTCTCTAATCGGCCAGTGAATCGCATAAATTTCTATCGGCTTGATTGAGGAAGCTACGCGGAAATAGATTTCTGCCGCGCGCACAAAGCGGCCGGTTCCCCTTTGTTCGAGACTCGATTAATCGCCGCTACCGTCTTCGGGCTACCTGCCAGTCGAAGCGCTAATTTCTACCGCTTAATTGCGTGCGCGCGATAAACGCGACGACGTCTGCGTTTCTTTTTTCTTTCTCTCTTTTTTTGTTTTTTTTTTTTTTTTTTTTTTTT